AAGTGCAGTGTGCCACATTTCATCTGTGAGACAAATCCAGCTCCCCAGCGTGGGTACAGCTGAGGGCTGAGGGTTTGGATGTGGCCAGGGGCAGAGGGAAAAGCTGTGCTTTTTCTTCGATAGTGTGGAATGGCCCTTGGAGCCAGTCGACTGGGATGGATTCCAGCTGGAGAGGGTAGGAGAGAAGGGCAAGGAGCATCAGATGAATAAAGGACCATAGTTTTGTTGGCCTTGGAGCTCTCTGTTTTCTAGGGCAGAGCTGCCTGTGCCAGCCTGTTATAGCAACATTGCTGAGCTGTCTTGCTTTATGATGTTTATATTTCTTTCCCTTATTCTTCCAGTACTTTTTTGAATACTTTAATGTCCACCTCTTTCCGTTGCTCTTCTTCCCTCTGGTATTCCAGTCTAATAAAACCATAACTGTGCCAATCACAAAAGATCCCCAAAAGAAGAATTAAAGCTTCTACAGGAGGTTCCTTTTTTAGTCTTTTTTAGTCTTTTTTGAAGGCATCGCTTTTCTTTAAAATGAAAGATGAAGCATTTTCTTTTATCCTTTAACTTTACTGTCACATTTTATTAAGTTAAAATGATAGTTACAGTTAGAGGAAAGCAGGATATGAATTCCTGGTACAGCCATTTTTAAAGTGTGCTTTGTTTTAAAGCCCTGAAGATTGATTGAAGGTATTTTTCTTTTAGATGTGGAGCTTTAGTCAAAAGGGGCATGATCTGAGTTACCCTCTGTAAATCAGGATTAGCTCCTGTGAAATCAATGGAGTTACAATGATACAATACGGGGCAAGTTGGAAAAGACTCATGCCCTGAGAATGAATAAGGGAGGAACTGCGGGCGATCCCCTGAATGCTGCCCTTGCACGGGAGTGAAGCCACGAGGCAAAGCAGAATTATACACTGTCCCCATTGGGCTGCCATGGAATGTCCTGGGTAAGAAGTGGGCAGGTGGCAATGGGTTTGTGCTGTCATGGGTGCTGTGGTTGCAAACCCCAGCTTTGGGGACGCTCTGAGCCTGCAGACCTCCTGCCTTTCCCAGATAGAGCTGCTTTTTGCCTGTCCCCTGCCACCGCCGCTGCAGTCAGGGAGGCTCATGAGCTAAGAAAGCCTGATTTAAGAGACAAGAGGATGGTGGCAGAAGTGGTGCTCTATGAAATGCCTGTCTCTGGAGCATATTTCACCAGGTCCAGTGCAGCCTGAATTTGTTGACCTTTTTTTTGTCAGAGGGCCGGAGGGATTCACTGTGCAGTGAATCCCTCTGAGGGGAGATCCCTCTGAGGGAAGAAAGATTCCCTATCAGTGTCCCTTGGGGCTGTGCAGTTGTGCAGAGGACAGGTTTTCATGAGGGAGAGGACAGATAAACTTGGAGAGATAATATTTTTTGACATTTTTATCTTTTTTTAACATGTCTGCATTGGGCTGGGGAGGGGAATAGCTACAGTGGTAAAGACACATCAAAACGAGTAAATAAAGAATTGAAATTATATGTCCTGTCTGAGATTTGAGTTTAACCAGGGATTTGAGCTCTCTCCTCTCATCTGCACTGAAAACTTGACAGCTGATTTCTTGAGGCCTAAGCCATTCTGAGCAGAGAGTCTAACAAGAACATCTCTTTTTATAGCATTTAACTGCATCTAAACAGCTTGAGGCCAGGGCAAGTTCCAGCAGTGCAAAGCAGCAATAGCCTGGGCTGTGCTTGGGACGTTCAGTGTTCTAGCAGTCTGGATGGGGACTGGTCCTAAGCACTGGTCATACTCCAGCCCTCACAGTGAAAATCTGCAGCTTGGGCAAAATTGGAGGGGGGGCTTGGCCATCTCCAGTAAAATTAAAACGTTTCATGTCATTAAAGCACTTCATAACTGCTGGACTCTCCCAGGCAGTTACGAGCTTGCTCTTGGCACTCAGTTGACCTGTGCTTGCACATGGCACTGCTTCATATTTGGAGCATGGGGTTTTTTCTTGGAAACAAATTTGCAGCGGCTGGAAATAATAATTGCTAAGTTAGAGTCTTTCTTAAAATATTGAGAAAAAGTGAGCAAGGCAGCCTGGGAAGGGGCAGGTTGAAGGAGTAAGCTTTTGCAGTGCTATCCACTGTCTCACTACTGTTCAGCTGGTGCTCCAGGGCTCTGGCTTTGTCACCCTTGATCAAGCTGGCATTTACCCATTGACTCTGACACCGGTAGACACCAGCTCAGGGCTGCACGAGATGCTGATTTTGTTCAATTTTCCAGCACATGAAAGCTTCACACATTTGATCAACACAGTTGGATGTAGGAGACAGGGAACACTGTGGAGGGTACAAGTTTTTTATAGTGTTTCTTTTTCATCTTTGTTTGGTCATATATTAATTCTCACTTAAAATCAAGTTTGAAATCATTGTGTTCATGCACACTTTGGATTTCCCCATGACAATAAGGAAAAAGAAGATGGAACTTTACCCCAAATACTGATTAGAGCTTTCTAAGGAACACCGAAGTCTCTTGGACTGTGGTAAAATCTCTCAGGGAAAGTGGCAGAAATCCAGCTACTTGGCACATTTTACAATTAGTCCAGACAAAACACTAGTAAATGTACTCTGCTTTGGCACAGAATAGGCAGTGGGATGTTATGAAGCTTTCTTGCATGCAACTTTTTATCATTTCATGACCCTGGTAAGTTTGAAACTGGAATTTACTCATCTGCTGATTGTACAACACATTAGGCTGTAGAGGAGCATGAGACCCTACTGTGTGTCTTTGTTTTAAGATTTTTTTTTCACTTAGCTTGAGATCATTGTTTCTTTGTTTTTAAGATTTTTTTTTCACCTAGCTTGAGATCATTGTTTGGATGATTAGTACATGAAAATGGCCATATTGGCTCAGACTAAAATCTGTTTAGTTTAGTACCTTATTTTCAGGATTAGCCAGTAATGGCTGCACTGGGAGTAGTAGAGCATGCATAAAGTGAGATTTCCATGACTGTCTCTTCCAGTTTCCAGCAAGGATATCTGACAGTGAAAAAGTCCTTTTGCCTTTTGTGCATTTCCCACAACAACCATCTCCCACCTAAGGAAAGTTTGGCTTTGACTTTAAGTGTATCCGAAAGCTGTACAAAATGCATCTCCCTGGCCTTCACATCTCTGAGCTGTGCTTCACTTCTGGATCTGTACTGGAAAAAAACGATCATTTAAACCAGTGGCTGAAAATATAATTTGATGCCTCATCATCAATAATTTTTATTACAGTGTGACTTGCACAACGTGTCCATCACGGGAGGTGCCACGGTGCTCAGTGGTGTACGCCCTTCAGTATGCCTGTGCTTAATGACTAAATGCTGTGCTAACCTGAGCTTTAAATGATTTCACATCTCTCCCTTCTGCCAGTCCCATTTTTTAATTTAACGTTATATTTGCTATGTTTTTAAAAAAGCCACCCTCTGTAGTAAAGGGCTGTAGAACTTCTTTTGGAGAACTGGAAGGTGTTTTTATACATCACTGCATAAAATCTGCATGTGTATGGGGCTGGAAAAAAAGTGCAATGCTGTAATGTCTCACTCACACTAGCTGGGAAACCAAGTCCCTAGAACTACCCCAAGTCCTGAATGCCAGTGCTATTTTCAGTCAGAGGTATGTAGCTGCTGCTGAGCACGCACATAATGGATGTGCTGGCAGCTCATCTTTATGCCAGTATTTAAAGTCACAGAGAAATGCAGTTAATAAAACATCTTTCAAAACATCTCCCATTGCTGCTGTAAGCCATCCCTTATTGCTCCTGTGATGCCCAAAGACCTTTACAAGCTTCTCTCAGCTCCTTGATGTAACAATATTGGAGTTTGCCCCACGCCACAAGCCTGCCATTGTGCATCAGTGCCTCATGTTACCTGCCATCAGCTTGACCATTTCAGATCACTGAAAGTGTTTTAGAGACTCCAAATGAAAATGTAGAGGTATCAGGCACTGCAGGTGTTGACTGTTACACTGCCTTTGTGAATCACTACACCTGCAGGAATTGAAAATCTTGTTACCTGTGAATTTAATGAGAATCAGCTTTATCACTAGGTAGGATTTAAGGGTAGAAGACTCCATTTGTTTGAAAACACGTGTTTGCAATAATTAAACAAAGTTACATAGGAAAATATAATATGCACAGCCGTAAGATTAAATTCTATGCAGATTTTCCTAAGCTGCAGCGTCATCTTGGGGAGCTTGTGGCATGGGCTAATTAATCCTCCATCCCCTGCCTCAGACCTGCTTGGCCCAAGGGAGTTTTTAGAGCTATGCCTTTACTGCTGCTGTTGTTGTTGTTAAAAAAGCTCACGCAGAAAAGGCATGACTTTCTGTTCTCCTCTCCCGAGAGTGAGTGCTCCTCCTCTTTAGCTGTGCCTCAGCTCTTATGACTGGGAGCTATAGCATCCCATAATAATGCAAGCAATTGGCTCAGTTCTCACCATTTTCCTCAATAAACTCTTTTAATTTCTATTGTACCTTAATTAGCACTTTCCTGGCAACACCTTTGAATTGGCTTTTTTTGTTTCAAGACATTTAAAACCGCAGTGGTAAAATGTATAAATCACCTATTAGAACAGTATTAATTACATGTGTTTTCCTGATGACTGATGTTGGCCTTTCCTTATGACATTTAGCATGGCACATCATGAAACCAAGGAGGGAGGTGTCCAGGCTGGGGTACACATTTACACCTGGAGTATTTGAGATTTCATGGTGTCAGTGTCAGTCATTGCACACCAGCAGCTGTTTAAGGACATATCCCCCAAAGGCACACCAAGATAGATATTTAGGGAGCTGTGCACTTCCCTTGTATTTGAAGTTAGAAGTCAAAACAAATTGGTTTTGTTTTGTTTTTTTTTTTTTTACATGCTGTTTGTGGAATATTACCTTGTGTACCTAGCACAAGTGGGGTTGGGATGAAAGGGGAACCTGCACCCTTCCCTACCTGTGCTACACGCTCTGGATAAGCATTTGTCTTTCTGAAAGTGGAATTATTTGTATTTCAGGTATCCTCCCTGGGCCTATCTTGGAAGCTAGTTCTGCAGCCGCCCTTCAGTCATGATTGTTTCAAGATTAAAGGCCATTTCCCTGTCATTGCCAAGCCTTTTTCTTCTTGCTTTTCATCTCTCAGCATCACAGAATGCACCTGAATACTCTGAAGCTGAACATCAGCAGTGTGTCAGGAAAGAACACCCCACAATTGCTTTTGAAGGTAAGAGCTATTCCTGTTTCAGATTCCATTTAGGTTTAGTCTGTGCTGTTTTCCTTACACCTGTAATCCACAGGCCAGTGAAAGTGGCCTGACAATCATTTTCCCATTGATGCTTTACAGTGTTTTAATTCGAAGTTTCACAGCAGTCACTTAATACAGGCAGATTTGGAACTACTGGTCTAAGAATCTCCATTTTCTATTCTGCTACAGGCTCCCTGTAATCCTGTGCCACGCTGAAACCATTTTTAAGTTTCCTTTTCTCTAACTGGATTCAGTAATGCTTATATACCTCACCTGGCTTGCTGGAGCCAGACGCTTAATAAGTGAAATGTGATAGAGAATGTGGACACACTTGAATGCAAGAGAAGTAAGTTGATTTAAAATTGCAGGGAGTGGTGACCCTTTTGTTTGGAGCTTTTTTGGTTTGGTTTGGTTACATATTTGTCACCTGTGCCAGTAGTTTTTCTGTCATTCGTCTGGGCAATTAACTTGAATGTGAGAGGGGTCCTTTGTGTGGCAGTGGGCAATCTTTTTACTGTTCTTTTGAAGCATAGAATTTGTCTTATCTTTATCCCAGTCAGATTTTCCATGAGCATACATGTACTCCTAAACTGTTATCTGGATAATCTGTCCACTTATTCACACAACGGGTAGATCATTATATTGGTATCACCATTATTTCAAAATACACTTCAGACCAGTGTGTTAAGCTCAATGTGCCAGCATGAGCAGCTGCTGAGTCTCCTTGCTAAAAATGGTTTCCTCCTAAATGTTGAAATATCGATTTCAGTTTCCATTTAAGGCTTTGCAGTGCATCTCCAGTTACATTCTTTGCTAAAGGCAATTAAGTACCTTGCAATGTGTCTCTAGTTAGGTTCTTTGCTAAAGGCAATTTAGTTGTGGTTTTGTGACCTTTGAGATAGAGTTTCCAGGAAGAAAGTAGTCAAAGGCATCCTTGCTGACCTTTCAGGATTCTTCTAGAGAGCTTTACTATTCTTCATGGAGAAGGAAACTCTTGTCTCTTAAACTGGAAAGTTTAAGAGATTTCTTGTCTGTTTTCCATTATCCATGCCTTAGAGGTTTAAGTGGATTAAAATAAATTAGCAAAATCTTTAAGCCTATAGGATACAGCACTGGCTCTAACCTTGCTCTGGTAAATAAACCTTGATTTTAATTGCTAAGTAAGTCTAACCATCTGTTTTAACTGGGTAGGGCCAAAAGCAGAAACCCTTACTGTTAAAACACAGTGAACCTCAGTTGGGTATTTAAATAGATAATACAATAATGAAGATGTTATAGAAAAGAGAAAAAGTGTTGCTCTCTCTATTAACCAGGAACACCAAACTTTGAGTTTATAGAGGCTGTGTCTGTGTTATCCAGTACTGAGGTAAATCATTCTGCATTAATTAATTCTTTCATTGCATTAGGAACCCCAGTTCCTGATGTTGAGGAATTGGTGGGCATTTTTTGGCACTCAATATGATTGCTTCTCCACAGAATCACTGGCTATGTAAACACGTTCATAATCTGCCAGTTTGCTTTGTTTTAATCAGGTGAGAATATTTCACAGAAAAAAAATAATCTGTCTTCCCCTTCACTGTTCTTGTTCCCTTTCCCTCTTCAGTGATACAGGGCAAAAACTGTTGAGTTAATTAGAATTTGACAACTGTGCAAAAGAAAGACTGAAATTGCAGACACATCAAGAAAATGACCCAGATTATCATTTGAGTCTCTTAAACCCAAGTTAGATTCAGAGTTATTGTTTTTTCTCAGCAGCTGTTTCCTTGTGATTGTTCATGATAGTTTAATCTTATATTTTCTGCTGCAAGGCTCAGCTGGAAAATACACAGGAATAAAATTAAAGGCACCTTTTTTCCACTGCACATATCTTTTAAAATCTGTGAAGAGGGCTCACACATCCAAACCCACATCTCAGCTCATAATCTAATTTACCTTAAAGCTATACCCTGTTCTGATGCCAGCACATGCAGGTTTAGGCTGCAAGGGGGAAAAATAGGGGAATATACATTTTATGTAGATTTTATGTGCTGTTCCAGATTGCTCTGAGGATGTCTCTGCTTAACAGTGTGGCTCGTGGGCTTTCTGTGGGTCTCCAAATGCATTGTCTCATGGATCACAACCTGGTACGCAGTGGGAATGTGTAAAGATTGAAAGAATGACCCCAGCAGCAGCCCTGCTGATGCTCCTGCTGCCAGGGGAAAGGATTATGTTACATCAGCAATTTTCAGTGGATGGACCATAATAATAATAAGGCCCCTGACCATTCAGTCATACAGGATGCATTAATTTACTGCCAGAATGAAAAGGTTAACAAAACAGTTTATGTTACTAAGGGGTTGAATAGCTTCTTTTTCACAGCCTTGCTAGCCAGGTTTCCCATCACCAGACAAATGGGATGCCATAGCATGTTTTGTATTCTCTAGTCTTTAGTTCCCACCTTGCTTGTGCTCAATCTCTTTTTGTTGTACTTTACCCCTAGATGATGATATTCTTAACATCCAGTTGGCTGGATAATATCCCTGTCATGGAAGAATCCCAAGTAAAACTTTCTGTCTATCTTTGCCCTTATTTCCTGAGAAGTTATGTATTTTCTATGTTGTGCTTATTGTATCTCATCCACACTAGTCAACCATCTGTTTGAATTGGTATCTCTATTGCTATGAGAGTGGTAAGAAAGACAGAGGACAATACAGGCCCTACTCATTTAAGGAGAAAGGAGTCTACATATTCAAAATGCTTTTACTTTAGCTGTGTTCAGACAAAATGCCTGTTTCTTTACAGAGTTCATTCTCCAAAACACCTGCTGCTACTTGCGACCTAGAGAAAAAGGTCTAGACAAGTCGTGGGACATAAATTCTGGCTCTAAATATACTTTACATTCTAAAGATAAAGTTTGCACTGCCAGGAGAGATGTAGACTGGGAAGGGGCCATAAGCTGAATAGTTTATCCTAGCAGCCTGCATAGAGATTGTGAGGGACAGGTTAGGAATTTCATGCTGCAAGCACTGTCCTGTGTGTTTGCACAGTACCAAACTAACACAATGGTGCCCCAATTTCCCTGGGGCTTATAAATGATGCTCATTGTACAATTCACCAACAATAATAACGTACCCAGTCTGGGCTTTTCATAATTAGATTGTTCTACTCTGTGCTTATAGGAAATCCAGTTAAAGTTTGATTTCCCTTGTTAGATCAATAAGAAAATGATCTTCTACTTCCCAGGAGGCTGTTTCTGGTGTTTTATTAGCTGTTTGGCTGTGAGTGGGTTGCTACATTAAGGGTCTTGCATGCTTGTTTATTTTTCAGTGAGTTGAGAAATTAGTGAAACAAGTCAAGTATATCTTTAGTGCGTCCTTTTTTATTTATACATGCATGAACACATGCATCCAAGTCCCATTTCACAAAACAGTTTGTCATCCTGGCACAGCTCCCCTGTGGACCACTCTGGTAATCTGAACACTAGAGAAATTGTTTCTAGGCTTTGTCAATCATGTTCATCTTTCTCATATTTTCCATATGCATCTTATAAACAGTAGATCAATCCCTCCATTTGCAACTGGGCGATGCCTGTGTCATACTTGGCCTGGTTACTTGTTGTACAGCTCTCTCTTGGACATAAAGCACCTTTGCTATTCATTAAACACATTTGGAGTTCCTTTGTAATGTGCCTCTTGGGAAAGCCAGAAACATCTTCCACACCAATACTATGTAAGGTTTGTTGTTTCGAGAGCCAGAACCATGAGTGACATGTATAGATGTTTGTAATGCCTGCAGAGTGCTTGGTTTCAGCTTGTTTACCAAGGAAATGCTTAAGAGTTTGCAAACTCATCTGTGTTTCATGAATCATTTGGACATTCACAACTCCACTACAAATGAGTTGTAGTCAGGTTTCCACTTGCAGTTTCTACCATTATTTATTTCTCATTAGTTTTATCCATTAAATCACTATGCTCAGGAAAAAGTATGATAGACTTCCCAGGTTTTTCTCTGTTCTGTCTCCCAGGGCTTTCTCCCTTGGGTCATGGCAGTTAGGGTAAGCTGGAAGAACATCATTTGTCTCTGCTTTAATAATTGCAGCCTGTCTTCATCCATAAAAACACTTCAACTGATCCCATGTTGAGGCAGAGGAGAGAGGTGGACTTGGTTAAATAGCTTATATCTCAGATCTTCTCAGGACAGCAAATCTCAGCTTTGCAGACTGTATCATCATGGCTGATGTGAGTTCTCAATGTGTGGCATTTGATCCATTGTCTAATCCTCAATCTCTCCTAGATGCAGACAAGTTTCTCTGCCTGTTGCCTCAGGTTTTCAAAATGAATTAGTTTGGGAGTGTTTATATCTGGGGTTTTACTTCAGACCGTCTGTAATTATTACTCCCTACCAGATAAACGTGATTCAGGTGACTAGAATGTAGGTTGCTATGTATTTTCTCAATATTTTATTTCTTTTAAGAACATTTCATTGAAACATGGCCAGCTTCAAACACTGAAACCTGTGGGGAGCAGCTAAGTGTTCGCTTGTTATATTGAAAGCAAAAGCTGTTTTAACTTTGTGGGCTGAAGGATAATAAGATATGATTTATTTCTTTAGAAGGTTCTTTACATTTCACCAAACACCACCACTAACATTCAATTGGTCACTAATACATTATTCCCTTTACTGTATATTGATGAGGGAAAAAAGCACATTAGCATTCATGAACTCCAAAGGCCAGCTAGGAAAGCCTCTTAGGAAATTCTGGTAAAGATTTACACTTTCCTTGAGCAAGTAAGATCTTGACAACCCAAACCAAAATTTTAGTTAACAAAGGATGAAGATTGTGGGATGAAATATTAGAAGTGTATCTGGCTAAGCATCAAAGGGAAGGCAAAATACACTATAGGAGAGTTGTCTTCTAGCTCACAGCCGTGATGCCCTTGAATGTCCACACAGGGAGTCCAAATATTAACTAGTGATGGAGTGTTGACTGCAGAGTGGTG